TTTCAATGGTGTTTTTTTTTTTTTTTTTTTTTTATGTCAACACTGTCTACCAGTCATTTTTGAGATTATCATTAATATTCTAGATAACAAGGAAAACCTGGTTTTTTGGATTAATAAAGATTGAAAGATTAAAAATAAAGTTGTCATTGACAAACGTTATTATTTTTATTCTTAAGTTTTTATTATTTTAACCTTCTTAAACAATCATTGTTGTCATGGAAATGCACATTGTTGAAAAAACAATACTATAGACCGACCGATAAATGTATGTTAAAAATAAAATAAATTTTGATTTCAATACGTTCTTTTAACTATTAATCTTTATAATATTACATTTATTTTACTCTAAACCTAAGCATCATTATCGACTGATTCGTTTTTTCGTTAGCAATGGTTTATCGTTGTTTACGGATATACATTAAACTCCCTTCTGCATTCTACCTTCCCAACTTCCCACTTACAACAGTGGCCGCACCCACGTGCGAAGAAGTATATCAGTCTTTTTTTTTTTTTTTTTTTTTAATCGTTAATGTAATTCGATTGAAAACAATCGCAGATACCGGAAATTTTCGTCGAACGCTGACGCCGAAAAAAAAAGACGCTACGACTTCCTAAACCGTACGGGCGGTTTTCGGGCTGACCGGGTCGCGGGCCACCGCCGAGACGAAAAGGGTGTTCCGAAAGCGACGCGCTCGAGGGGGTGTGAAAACAGTCGCCGTGGAAACGGTCGGTTTTCCCGGCCAATAACAGGGGTCGAGTACTAATAATATCGTCTCGTCACCCGTTGCGTGTCGGTCGCCGTTCAATTACCCTGTACTGCGGCGAGCGCTCGCGCCCCTTTCGGTCACGGATGTTTATTACGTTATTATAATATTTTATTGTTATCGGGTGTCGGCCGACCCGCGAATAAAATACACCGCCGTCGCCGGGGGGAACGAAAAAACAAAAAAAAAAAAAAATAAATAAAATAAGGGTCTCGGAATATACCACCTCGAGTTTTATATATATATAAAAAAAAAAAAAAAATATAACATTATTAGAGTATACGGCGGTCGGGGACCGCCCATAATACCGCCGCCGCCGCCGCCGCCGCCGCCGTTTTCGTTATAGTAATATTATTTATACGATGTGTATCTATATATGTGCGCGGGCATAAAGGACTTCCGTGTTTTCGGTTTTTTTTGTAAGATAACCTTTCCCCCCCCCTTCTCTTTTTACGGCGTTCGTAATATACGATATCGTCGTACACCCGACCCGTGCACTCTGTCTCATCGTCGGATAAAACGTATAGATGATTATCGCTGGGTGTCACAGCATAAACCGCACGTCGTTTGCACACACACACACACACACACACACACACTATGTTTATATAGATAAATAGATTACCGAAACGAACGTCGAGGTAAAGATACGTCGCCGTCGGATATTTACGAGTCAATTAGATAATTGAAACGATAAATACGATACCATATATTATATCAGATGCGGCCGGAATAAAAAACCCGTCGAACGATATTAACTGTGGTGGATCCGGGGCAATGCAATAGCATCATTTACCCCCCCCCTTCCAAAACACCGTAGTACAGTGCGCTCTTTTTCTCGTATCAATACCGAGTTCCATTATTGTTTCGCGCCTGTCCCCTCGTCCCGAAATTAAGGTCTGGATCGGCCACTGTCGCCTAATCCGACCCGCACGCGTTTTCTTCGGTTAACATAATAAACGAGATCGCGCGGGTGCACCTATCATTTCTCATTTTCTGTCGTTCGTTTATCGATTTCCAGATGATAACAATATTAGTGGATATGCGGTCGAGCGCGTTGACTTGATCGAGATTGGTCTTCGTCGTGTTCCGTCCGGTGTCCTACTGCGCGCGCGAACGAAAAAAACCTTATCTGCGTGGAGATACGCGTTGTTCAAATTTATCTCGATAAAGATAAAACCTAATTATTGCTCCGGGTGTAAATAAATATAATTAATATCGACGTCTCGAATAGATAAGTGAAACAAATTAAGAAAAAAATGATAATTTTTACATATGTCGGACAAATATTACGAGTCGTTCGGTAAACTGTAGGCTTTTAGCTTCATTAAGACGATGTTCAATAATGTCATTCATATTTCTTTATGGTTTCGATCCGAAGATTGGTTTGTAGCCAATTTCCACTCTACTATCTCTATTATCCAATTTCCTTTTCATTCGCACATATTTATGGCATCCTTGGTCTCTTATTAGCTGTTGGGTGTACTTTAGTCTTAGCCTTTCTTTATAATTCTTTCCTTCTACACCTCCTTCTGTAATTAGTTTTGGTAATATCATTCATGCCGAATTAATATGTCTTAAACTCCTATCCATTCATTCCGTTTTTTTTAGTATATTTTTCCATAATAGCTTTCCTACCGACGTTCTTATAATAATCTCCTTATCAGTTATTCCGCCCGTCCAACTTATTTTTAAAACCCTCCTATAACCCTTGAACATTTCAAATGCTTTCGATCTGTTTTGTTCTTTCACTGATTTTGTAGGGTGTGTGTAACTAAGCTTTATATGTATTCCTCAGATAACTCACCTGTTCACCTGTGTCGTAAATATCTCTGATAATTTAAAATAATTCGTTTTTAACTTTTTCTCCCTACTCCTTCGAAAAGCTCCGCTTATATTCCATCAGCTCTCGTCACTTCCTTATTCTTCAGATTTCCCAGGGCTTTATCAAACTCCTGTCTCATAAACGAATCATTTTCTCGTTCATCCTTTGCATTTTTCTCCTCTTCGATTTCGGTACTGACCAAAAGTGTTTTACCCTCGTACAGGACTTCCAAGTATTCCTTACGTCTGTTGTTCATGTAAAACTTTACTTACCATATTATCTAGTATTCCTCCAACTCTAGACCTATACTGACCAAGGAACTTTTTCACCACGCTTTGTGCACTTCCTCTCTGCAGCCTGTTTTCATAAGTCTCTACCTCGCAGTACTTAAAGTCCTACCTATAATTTCGTTTCAGTGAATTATTCTGTAAATAACGTCCACTATTTATCGACGCACACTGATATAATCATTTATTTTCTATCGAGGTATACGCACTGCCTGCAGTCTGCAGCAGTAGTTTTTCGGAGTGAGGGAGTTGTTTCTTAGAGAGTGATTAACACAAAGTAAAGTGCAGTACTATCACTATTATTACCGAATAAATTGTTTTTGACGAAATTAAATTAAAATTTATTCTGTTATTGTATAAGATACTGTGTTGTTGAATGTAAAACTCGATTTCGAAGAAAAGTAGTGAGAGAAGATATTTCGGAGAGGCAGGGGAGGGGGGAGGATTGACACTGCGTGTGCCACTGACTGGTCTGCAGTGTTACCTGTGACGTGATTTCGCAATCGAAATAAAATTCGTACAACAGTCGCGTATCTCGAAAATATTAACAATTTTAAACCGTTTTAACGGGCGTTTAAGTGCGACTTGTTCTATACACGCACACGACGTACGGAATTTCTATCGTAATTTGGATTTTAACAATATTAATATGCCTATGCGTGTGTAATATCATTGACGCGCGCGCCGCAACAATATATCATAATCTCCCGCGTATGTCACGTAAAACTAAACAACAATAATAATAAGTAAGTATAGAGAAATCTTAAATCTTATCGGGCTACACGCGTTCAAAAAAAAAAAAACAACATAATTCTCGGTATCTACAATATATTATATTCGTCAGATTTAAAATTAAATCAACTTTTACTGATTAATAATAATAATAGAAAATCTAATATGGATTTCTGACCGCCGCCGCCGCCGCCGCCGTAGTATGTAGGACCTACGTCATATTTATTATGTTTTACAATAATGGGAATTGTCGAAATCTCTTCTGGTATACGCGTCATGTACCTACTCTCGGACACTTAAGAACGTCCAACGAACATTATTATAACTCGATAACTACTTATTTTTTTTTTTTTTTTTTTTTTTTTTTTTTTATTATTGCAATAACGTTATAAAAATATTTTGTTACTTATTATAATGGATAAAATCTAGTAGGTATTACGTCATATAATAACGAGTATTTGTATTTTGTCCGTATTTTTTTTTTTTGTTTTTTTTTTTTGATTTAACGGGTTAGCGCGTACTGATTATATTAATAACGCGAACTAAAAGATAAATCTTATAGATATATTTTAGTTCTATTTGTTATAACCTGATATTTTCGCAGTATACTGGAACGTGCGTAAGTACCTATTATTTCTGTGCCCGGGGAAGAAGAAGAGTTAACGTTACACGGTTTTCAACACGGGCGAATCATATTTTAAATGTTACTAAATGGCGTGACGGCATAGTAGCTGAATGGCTAAATTACTCGATGGTCTGACCTAAACGTACAGGCGTTCCGAATGGCCAAAGTGATATACAAATGTATGATTTATGTCATTTTTGTCAAACAAAAAATAGGTAAATCATAATGACTTGAGATATTTTAATTTCTAATGTAACATTTGGTTGAATATGCGTACACTGATACCATTTAGACTCAACGTTAACAAAAATAAGTACATAATAACATAAGACACAATAACAGACAAAAAAAAAGACTGGCCTATACTTCGCACGATGGATGGGCCACTGTTGTAGGCGAAAAGCTGTGTATGTTGACCACTAAATACAATTTATAATGAACCTCCTGTTAAATTTTTAAACATTTGTGTTTGGTCAGTTAATTCTATCCACCTAACGAATAAATATTACGTAAAAAACTCGCAAAATTAACG